ACTGGTTTCCTATATTTGAACAAACCAACCAAACTAGACCCTACGTTCTATAGTTTAGTGGGAATGTCTTCACGTGTTAATTAATAATAACTATCAAGAGAGGTTCTTCTAACATCAAGAGAGGTTCTTCTAACAGTATGAAATAGTTTCATAGTTTCAGTTTCAATATCTAAAAAATAAGTCATACGTTTGTCACTTAGTATGTCGGTCAGCTATAAAAACGTGACATTCTCGTGAATACAGAGTCTGTAACATTCCCACCTCCAGTATTGCAAAGCAATTCTCAGTCTGGTCAATCATCGGCAGATCCCGTTGTCCATGTTCAAGTCTCCGTGCGAATGTTACAGACTCTTTTGGTGCAGGTTATTTGTTATAGCTGACAGAAGTATGACTTATTTTTTTGATGCTTATTGTTATAAAAAGACGCATGTGATTAAAGAGAGTGCAATCTATCAAGTCGATTTTTTCCTTCAATTCCTTTTTTTTTCATTAGAAATATTTTTTTAACTATCAAAGAACAGCAAACTTTTTAACTATAAACTCTTTCCCTACAAAATACAGTTATTGGTGACATGGTCATTCGCCTTGGGAACTATCTAACTAGAATAAGAATAATTTGTAGATTGATTTTAGACTCTAGTGTAACATCGACATTTTAATTTCATGTTATTGTTAAATAGCCTAAAGACTGTATCGTGTCCGGCACATGATGGCGAATTAAAATTAAAATTCTGTGGGGTTTCTGATGACTTTCTGTTTAATTCTCTTGAAACGAAACTAATAAAAAACATTAGTAATGCAAAGACAGTCACTAGGGCGTCGCGTCATGTTCCCAAAGAAGAATTCAGAAGTGAAAATGGCTCTCCTGTGTTTTCCAAAAATTAAGAAATTACTAGCTACGTGGATGCTTACCTGCTTTCAGTAAAGAAGACTACCTATTGTCAAAAAAAAATCACCGCATTTATATTCTGTACTTGATTTCGCCAATGGCTTTTGACGTCATAACAGTTGCATGACGTACAGCGTTCACAAAATAGAAAAAGAACTATTATTCTTATATATTTTCAAAGTATTAAGCGTAGCGGTTTTGGAGATTATGGGCAATGTAACTTTAAAACTATAATAAAATATATTTGACATTCTCATAACAAACTTTTTATGAAATATCACATAATGTATAGTTTACAAAACTCTTTTAAATATGTCAACCAAAGAGTAGCGAATCTTTCCCATCTAAAACTATTAGATTTGTAGAGCGATTCGTTAAAAATCAGAACCAGTGACCAAACCTACTTCGAAAGCAAATCTGGATTAACCTTGGTATTCTGCATACTAAACGTTTCGTGGTTAAAGCCCGTCACATACGTAGTTATAAAATATATTGTAATACATGCTATAATATATATATTGCTTTCATTCATTGATGGTCAGCCTAGCGTTTATAGTCTACTATAATATGCAATAATATATATTAATATGCATTAATTTGCTACGTGTGCAGTCATTTGAATATTTGTATAGAAAATATATCGTAATATGCCTTGCTATAATTTAAATTAATATATATTATAGCTACGTGTGTGACAGTTTCGAAATAACATAGGAATCGAATATCTGAGTATCATGTATGAATATAATACTCGTATATGTCTTGTATTTTTATACATAAAACGGAGTCAAAAGAATATTCTACCCTTATATATCTCAATGAAATAGTTTAATCTATATTATTCATTATTTAATCTTTAAAAAAACATTAATTAAAATAAATGTTTGTGGATAAAATATTCATAACGCCAATGCCAGTTTTAGACGAAATTAAGAAAATAGTGGCTGTCATAATTTTGCATACAAAGTAAGGAAAAAAATCTAACATTATGACATATTTGTCCCGTTTTTTAGATTTTTGTATCATTGATAACTATAGAGCAATTTAGTAGCTCGGTGGCGTAGTGGATATGCGCCGCGACACGCGATTGTTGTCGTCAAGTAACTTTCGCAAAGGTCGGTCACGGGATGGGTGACCAAAAAATTATTATCTCGAGCTACTCCGTGCTTCGGAAGGCACGTTAAGCCGTTGGCCCCGGCTGCATTTTGTAGTCGTTAATACCCTCCAATCCGCAATGGGCCAGCGTGGAGGGTCATGGCCTATCCTCCTTAACCATCCACAAGGAAGGCCTAAGCCCCTGCAGTGAGGACGAAATAAAGGGCTGATGATGATGATAGAGCAAATTTGAATACATCCGTCAATGTGTTGCTTAGTAACACAAACCAGAGTACTTCACAAACATTCACCAAAGAGTACATAAAATATAATATAGAGTAGCGTACGGAGTGCACCAAAGAACGGCCATCAAACGGAATCAAATGGATTTCATTAATATATCCATAGCTATAATGATCAATACATAAGAGACAAGGGCTAAGTTGATTCTTTAGTATTTACATGCAGTCAAGCATATGTAGAATAGCTTGTTGGCATAGTGAATAAGCGCTACGGCTCGCGATCGTTGTTTTTAATCAACTTTCGCAAGGATCTATCACGAGATGTCATTGCATCGGTTAAGGGATGGGTGACCAAAAAATTATTATCTCAAGCCACTTCGTGCTTCGGAAGGCACGTTAAGCCGTAGGTCCCAAGTTTACAGCATTTGCAGTCGTTAATACCCAATCCACATTGGACCAGCGTGGAGGGTCATGGCATATCCTACTTAACCATCATAAGGAAGGCCTGAGCTCTTGCAGTGGAGATGTATAGGGCTGATGATAATGATGAAGCGTAGCACTTTCGAGAACGACATCCCTTACCTGTTTATATCTAATCAATATTATTCTGAGTTGTATTTTGAATAATACCTTTAGACTTATAAAAGTTGCTTTCACCGAGTAGATTTATAGAAAACCAATATATTAATGCCTTTTTAAAAAATCCTTAGAGACAGTGAGTGAGTGATCTTTGATGCCCTTAACTGACGTTCAAGAAAAAATATCCGAAAAGAAGAAAAGGAGAACTATCTACAAAAAGTAATGGAATCCCATAAATAACACAATATGTACATAAATGCACAAGTCTCATAGTCTGCTCTCACAGAAAGATAGGTACTGAATTAATCGACTTGGTTTACGTTTATTTCATAACTTTTTACAACAGAAGAATTGCATTGTGAGACTTGTTTTTTTTGTACATGTTATGTTTTTGATGCGATAAATATTACACAAGATGAGCTGTAGAGGCCAGATTCATTTACCTCTAATAAAATTACAGCAACTGACAGCTCGGTGAAAATCATAGATTGTAAGAATTTGAACAAAATTTTATCGCACACTAGCTGTTTCCCGCGACTTCGAATGCGTAAATTGTAGCCTATGCTAACCTCCTATGGTGTAATTACCCGTAAGTGAAAGAATTATTAAAATCAGTCCAGTGGTTTTGAGTCTATTCGATACAAACAATAAAATCTTTCTAACATTAGTATATATTTAATTTTATATACAAATTTCGGTTTCCTTTTGTAAATACTCGTGAGAATTACCACAACTGCAGGCCTGTTTTGTATTTCTCAAAAACGAAATTTTGGTCTATTTCTGAAACGCTAATATATCTCCAAAGAAGCGCATTTTTCGATAATTTACGATGCAATTTTCAAAGTTTACATTCGAGGACAATAAAATAGGCCCTCAGATGTCATGCTATTCATACGAGTTATAGGTATGACAAATTTAAGTGCATTTTCTTAATTTATGATAATTTATAATTTATGACATGGAATTGACACAAAATAACATACAACAACATTTTAAGCAACAGAATATCGTGTATTATTCAAAGGATGTTAAAACTTATAACTATCGTGTAAAATTGTAAAAATAAAATTAAATATTAAATTACATTCATAACAAAGAGTAACCTACAATTATTTGTAACAGACATCATCCAGAAAATTTTATATTTTTATCGTAATCTTACACATTAATATAGCACAGAATCTATTAGAATATTGTAAGAATTTAATAAAATACAACTGTTATGGTCCCATCAAACTTTAATACTATCTTCATATTATGGGCATATATGTATAGTCAAATTTACATTACGAAGCTAGTGATTTGAAATTAGTTTCACTTCAATAATTTCAATAGCAATTTGACGTGTACGTTAAATTTCATGATACACTAGCTGCACTAGTTTTATGATGCTAAAGTAGTTCCGCGCCATTTTTTGATAATGCTAATGTTACACAATTAAATTCACCATGTAAAAAAAATAAAGCTTCGATGCTGACGAAACCACTCTTTCAGGGGTAGGTACTAGTGATTTTCGTATATTCTGTAATTAGTTTCATGAAACTTGTATCATGCATGACACTAATATCTTAATGTAAATTCGACTTGGCGGAATAGATTATAGCCTTTGTCATTTAAAATTAGGACGTCTGATCGTTCGGTAAAACTGGTGTACTAAATATACATTATTATAAAATTTGAACACTGTACGAACATATTCAAAAATAAAATAAAAAATCACTAGATGCGCATTATTATCTATAGGTATGTCATAAAAATAAACATATATAATGTAATGTCATGAAAATTTATTAAGCTTAATGTGGGCATACGATTTGTTTACCGTTACTATGTGCCTTTTACACTTTTACTGTGATTTTATTTACACAGATAATTAACAAGTTTGAAATAACAAAAATATCAAGTTTAATAAGTCGTATTACTCATACTTAATTATAACCGCTGCTCAATTGCGTCATAGACCTTGTGTTTGGGTACAAAACGATGCTTATGTCATAGTTTCATTTCTTTGGCTAATTGGCTCGAATTCTCTAAAAGAGTTTGGTGGTCATGTCATGTTACGGATCCTAAATACATATGTTTTCGAAGGATCAGAATAGCCTCGGCGTGCGCCATGAAGTATTTATTTAATTAATATTCACGATTTTGTAACGATTAAGTTTGAGGGAGTTTTTTTATATTCTTTATAAAATAAATTAACCGCCGCGGTGTGTCAGTACGGCGTCGACAAGCAACACGGCACCGTTGACGACCGCCAAGGAACCCTTAGCCAAATTATATTTCACAGTTTCCGTTCTGCTGTAGTTCTGGTATCTGAAATAAATTTATACAATACAATACAATACAAAAATTCTTTATTGTACACACCATTGTTTACAAAAATTTATATCGGAATAATAGTATGTAAGGTAGTACAAGGGCGGCCTTATTGCTTAAAGCAATTTCTTCCAGACAACCTTTGGATGGACAGTGGTATATGAAAAACAGAATTACGGTGGCTTAAATTTACTAATAGAAGAAACAATATAAAATTTAGGAGATAAAGAATATAATATAAAATAGAAATCAAGTATAAATACAATACAATACGAATAATTTTTCATGTACATAAACACTTTTTTTTAAGTTACAAGTACAAATAAGTACAAGTACATACAAGTACATCTTAAGTACATAGTTTACAAATGAAAATCGTGATATATATAATGTATTATAAATAATATTTCAACAATCGTTGGACAGTAAATCTCGCAATTTTATATCGTTTAAAGTTAATAAATTTATAAGATACCAAATTAAATATCTAAAGCACGTTTTAAATGGAAATCTAAAACATTGAAAGTAACACAACATCCAGACCCAAGAAAATAGAGAAAATTTACTTTTCTATATTAATCGACTTGGATTTGAATCCAGGTCCTTAGAGATGACGATACCTTGAAACCAGCGAGCTCCTCGGCAATGGAGGTTAACCGATATAAGATTAAAATCTAAGGAAAATTCAAACTATTATACTTACTTATCAATAATCAACGCTCCGCTGGCGACGAATAGACAAACACCAGCCAAAGAGTAGAAGACATCTACACGTTTGTGTGTTGGCGTCTGCATTAAGTAGCCTGTAACATACAAGTATAAACATTAAATGAATGACAAAGATCCTTCGGTGCTATTTTTATGATTTGTAATGTTTTGCTGTTCCAGTGTACATAATTTAGTTATTTTTTTTCAAACTAACCTTTCGCTCACGTGGCTTAAATCAACTTCAGAAATTTGTCAGGTTTGTGCTGTTGACTTTATATAATTTTGGAACTCCTAATTAACCCCCTTACAATAGGTGTTGACTTTTTTAATACTTCCTTATCTACATCATAATAACTATTTCAAATTGATTCGTCTGATAGTTTCGGACAGGTCACTCAGTCGATAATCTTTTATTTAGATTACATTTTTTTTTATACATTCCACAAAACGCGTTTATAAATTTGCTCTGCGAACTGTATAAGGTCAAACAAAAATTAAACTGACTTAAAAAACCGTGAAAAATATTACTAATCATAAAAGCTGTTCAAATTAAGGTTGCATATATTTTTTCCAAGACTGGTATTTTTACTGTCATGATCATTAAGTAGAATAAACAAAAAAATATTGTCTTACCCGCAGCGGCGCCAGCAAAAATGATTAGGTAGCCAACGAAGGTACCCGTGGCCAGCATACCGATATCCACTTCAGTGTTAAAGCTGTTCGCGTGGAGAGCCACGCAACCGCACGTCAGAGCCTGTAATATGCAAAAGGTTTATGTATATCTCGACTTTAAGCGCATGTCCCAACCTAAACCCTGCTTTGAGCTTTATAGAAAGTACGAGGGTCAAACTGAAAGTTCTTAGAAAATCAAAAACTGATTACATTAGCCAGTTATTAGTTTTATTATATCTTTTCAAAATATTGTCCATTCACGTCAATACACCGCTGCATGCGATGGAACCACTGGGAAAAGCACTTTGCCCACTCGTCCTTAGGGGTCTCTTCAATGGCATCGCGATACGCAGCCACCGCTTCTTCAGCATTCATAAACCGCTTTCCTTTAAGTTTTTCTTTAATTTTTGGAAATAAATAAAAATCACAAGGCGCGAGGTCGGGGCTATACGGCGGGTGACCCAGTAATTCAACGTTTGATGTCGCCAAATAGTCGATCGTTCGCTTGGCGGTGTGCGACGAGGCGTTGTCGTGGTGAAGGAGGATCCTACTGCAAGGTCGTTTCTCTCGAACTTTTTCCAAGACAAGTGGCAAACAATTGGTAGTGTACCATTCTGCAGAAACTGTTTTTTGATCCTCTAACACAATTGTTGCAAAATGACCTATCCTTCCAAAGAACGAGGCCACCATTTTTTTTCCCGCACTTCGATCTCTCTTCACTTTAGTTGGCAACTCCTCGAAAGGAAACACCCACTGAGCAGATTGTCTTTTGGTTTTAGGATCATAACAGTAAATCCAGCTTTCGTCACCTGTTAGTATGTCGAACACAGCATTTGAGTCACCTCCGTTAAATCTTTCAATCATTTTACGACACCAATCCACACGATGGAGTTTTTGAGCTTCAGTCAAATTATGAGGTATCCACCGGGCGCAAAGCTTCCTGACCGCTAAATGTTCGTGGAGGATTTTGTGCACTTGACTCATACCGATGCCTAAGCTTGTCCGAATCTGTTGATAGGTCACTCTTTTGTCAGTCTCTATCATACGCCGCACAACACAGATGTTATCTTCAGTCGTCGCCGTAGAAGGCCGTCCCTCACGTAAATCATCAGTGAGATTAGTGCGACCACGTTTAAACTCATTAAACCAGTTGTAAACAGTCGCACGAGATGGGGCTTCATCGTGAAAGGCCAATCGTAGTCTATCATAACTTTCTTGTTGACTTAAATGACATCGAAAGTCATAAAAAATCATTGCACGAAAATTTTCTCGTGTTAAATTCATGATGACGTGACACAGACAATTTTCAATTTGCCGCCAAATCGTAAAACAAATGACAAATGAATGAAATATATACTCAGTAATATTGGCAAAGAGTTATATTTTCAAATTTTAGAATTATTTTTTTATTATGTTGTTTATAAGTGGCCAGTTCTAAGAACTTTCAGTTTGACCCTCATATTAAAATTGATTACCATTTAATACTAGCTATTACCAAAACCAAAAGGACCTCTTCCCGCGACTTTTGGGCCCCTTGCGGGTTTCCTAGAACTGTCCATAATTTTAATGTAATGCGCTCCGCTTGAAATTCTAACTTTGTCGTTGACTTCTAGCATAAACAAATATATTTGAGGTTAATTGAGAGTTGATAATATAATGCTTCGTTCTAATTGCTTGATCCATTGTTCTTTCTGTGTTCTGTGGTTCTAATCATCCGTGATCTAGTGACTTAATACCTACAAAAATGATGTGGAATTTTATTTTGGCATTATTATTATAGAATATTTAAAATAAATAAAAAACTTTACAGAATAAACAGCCTTATTGTTTTGCAGCAACTCCCCATCGACAAAACTAGCGGACTTTCCGCCGAAAGTTTAAAGAAATGTTTCTCAAATTTATTTACGTAATGATATTGATAAGTTCATTCAAGTACAAGAGAAGGTCAACACGGTAACTACGAAGAATTAAAAACGATATGAAATAGCGTTATCATGATCATACTTTGAACCTTTTCTATCAAAATCGTAATTAATTTATTAATTTTCAAGGTGAAAAGTTAGAGAATTTTATGTTCTTACACAACCTTTCGTGCTAGCGTAGACCGCAGACTATTTCTTTTTTCATTTACATACCTATGACGTAAAAAAATATTGTTCCTACAATACCTATACTAATATTATAAAGCTGAAGAGTTTGTTTGTTTGTTTGAACGCGCTAATCTCAGGAACTACTGGTTCGAATTAAAAAATTCTTCTTGTGTTGAATAGATCATTTATCGAGGAAGGCTTTAGGCTATATAACATCACACTGCAACTATTAGGAGCGAAGAAATAATGGAAAACGCGGACGAATTCGCTGGCGGCCACTAATTCTGTAATATAATCTATTATCTTTTAAAGTAGGTTTTATCTGATTAACCTCTATGTTATTATATTACAGTGCTGTTCTCGATGTCGAGTTCGGGGCTGAGTTTTAAACAGAATATTATGTTTGAAATTCGTTATAACATCGATTATATTAACATAGATATAGGTAATGAAAATTAGATTTCAGAGTACAAATGCAAATTAAAAAAAAAATGGAACAACTCTTATAACATTGATTCTATTAACATAGATATAGGTAATGAAAATTAGATTTCAGAGTACAAATGCAAATTTAAAAAAATAAATAAATGGAACAACTCCTGAATATTTTAACATAACTATTGTGATAAATAAATATCGATGATCTGATTTTGAAGATTTTTAAAATCGTGCTACAATTCGCGAAGAAATCAATAAAAAATACGTAATTCGTCGTAAAAAAAACACAGAAATTTTAAAGTCTGTTAAAGTAGCCGTTACTAACCTAAGCTATTACCCCTTCAGCTCAGTACTTTAACAATGAAAATTTTACAGATAGACAAAGTTAGTTTCATTTTATAATGCTATATTGGATTAAAGTTTAAAATGAATTGGAAAAGGCAATTGACGATAACCCGTTGTCATATTTCTAATAATCGATCTTAACAACTAATGCGTTAATCAAAAGTTCAAACATAATCTATTGCGGAAATGTATAACATTTTGTAGTAGCTATATAATGAGCTGATGTAAATATTATCTATCTAATCTTTACATTTAACATATAAACATATTATCATATATATGCTAATAATATTTTTATAGCCTATGTTTGCGACGTACGATGAGTAATCCATCCTACTTGGACATGACGTCACCCTTTAGCTGGTGAGGTAGATGCGGTACAACTTCTTATATTCAGTTGATATTGTCGCAAGTGTAGCATATGAACGACAAAATCAAGAATAAGGAGAAGCTAAATTGTAAGAAATATATATATCAAGCAATAGTTTTAATTACGTGATATGATTCTCAAATGATATAGCACCATTAAAAGTGTTTTAATTTTAATATAAAAATATTACATTTAGTTCCGATATTGACCACATGAATGCATAAGTTGGTGGCGCGCAAACTTGTTTATAGAAAGGTGATGTCATGGATGCTACAACGCCTGCGCAATCGGGTCGCAGCGCCGAGGCTAGTGGGACCTTGTTGTGGACGAACACGGAATGAGGTCAATTGAGTTGTTATAAAGTTACTTAAGATATATCTTCACGTTTTAGGAAGATTAAAGGAGAATGCCAAGTTAATCTATCTCGAATTGTGTTTGTTCATGTCTTCGAGGCACTGTGTGTACCTTTTTTATTTGTCGAAGAATAAAGGGGTGTGTGCGTGACTCTCCATACTATGAGTCATACAGTATACCAGTTGTACAAACGTCCATTATAATTGTCATTAGTTTAAAACGACATTACCCATACACATTTGACATTCATTAGTTCTTAAAGGCGTCAATGAACCTTAATGGACGTATGTGCAACTGACCGTTACAGCAACATATTTAAAGAGCTATGAGTATTTACTCGTAGGTACTTTTGTTAAATAATTTCTTAAAAACATCTTGTCACCTATAAATAGTTTTTATGACTATTGTAGACAACACATGTTTAGAGTAATAAGATCGATTCTATTATTATCATTAAATTTGGTTCAATAGGGATGACGATTTTGTGTTTGTCCGTCCGGTAGATTATTAAAAAATATTAAACACATGTTTATTTTTTTTTCGTAATCATTTAATTACGGCGATACATTGAGTTAAAATGTCCCATGACGTCACGCTTTGGTACATTTTCTACAAAACTGTGACGTAACTAGCGCCCACTCCATAACATTAACGTCTGTTCAACTTTAACGTCTGTTATCTGAGCAATTTTTTTGTTAAAGAAATTAAGAGTTTCGTCTTTTACCCAGTCGTCATCCCAATTTTTTAAACTCGATTTTAAAAAATATGCTTTACTAATCTTACCAACTATGTAAGTATGAAAATATTTAAACTTACTTAATATGAACTTAGAAGATGTACAACTCGTGATTTCAGTATTATATTGATTTTTAAAATAAGTTTATAAACAGAAAACCTACTGCAAGTTAACAATTTTATTATTTCGATTACTTTCACCCTATAAAAAATATCGATATCGGATCAGCGTTCCCATCACAATTTTTTGCTAGTGTAGAGCGTACTGACATCAATGTTCAGGTAATCCACCCAAACATCAGCAACATGGTCCCTGGTTCGATTCCCATCCCAGAGTGCCAGGGTCAAAGTGGATTTTTTAAACATTTTTCATCCTATTAATATTATAAATAAAACAAATAAACTTTCAGTTAATTTGTTTGGATGTTTGTCCGTCAATCACGCCGAAACTAATGAATGAATTTTGATGAAATTTGGTATACAGATAGGGTATTACCTGACTTAGATAATAGGATTTTTATCCCACTAAAAGGTACCCTAGGGATAGAAGTACCTCCAACGGTGCCTATTTTTGTGAACGCTGCCTAAACGGTATGAGATATACGAATGCTTTTTAAAGTTGGAGAGGCTGTCATATATCCATGTGTGAAGGTTTTGCCATAATAAAATTAGTATTGACAAGTAATCTGAAACAATTTTTATTTAACTCGTATTTGTATATGTCAAGTCCTCTATAACCGGACTATAATC